ACGTAATTTTTCATGCTACACATTTCATGATGAATCCATGTCATTTGGTTATGTTAGGATGAGTAATCATTGTTGGTTTTAATTGCGATGATGCAATGAAAAACTGGTTTGGTTCTATATCCTGATATGATTAATGGACAGGACTTTTGGAGTATGCTAAAGGAATATAATGGCAATTTTGAGCTCATAAAGTCTAACACATTTGTAAGGTTGTAAGGACATATATATTTGTGACCAGTGGGAGATTGTTGGCAAAATTTGGGTCATGTATATATATGATACATAATTTAAATGTGTTAGGGCCATTATTTATTAAGCCAAATAATAAAGTGATCTGACTAAATTAAAGTTTTGGCTAAAGGCATATGTCATGAAAATAAAATTGTGTAGAGACCATAGAGCAATTTCTAATTTGATGAGGGGTCAAATTGGAAATACTAAAACTTAAGTAATTAACCTAATTCTGGTTATCTAAAGGGTCATGGTCCCCTTTTGGGAGCACACACACAGAACGTAAGTATCAGTCCCATTCCTTTCTTTCTATCCCCATCAAGAGAGAAAATCAAGAGGGAAATACAGGTGCTCTTCAGGTGGAAGACCATAAGATCAATACAGTGCTCTATAAAGACATAATCATTATGGCTAATTCAGGTACGCTTTCGCATTCAGTTTACAGCATGTTTATCAGTATGAGATTATGTTTATGTTTGATCGTTAGAATAAAAATCAGGATTATTATTATTATTATTACTAATTTTCCAACAACAAGTAGTTTTGAAAATTTTAATAAGTTAATCGTTTTCAGATCTTGTCTTAAGAACCCAAACACTGCCAGGAATTACTGTATCTACAAGACGGGTGGTATGAAAAAGTATGAGAGATTATTAGCTTTTATAATTACCTAACTTCTCGTAGCTAAGGGAGAAATCATGCTTAATTGACCTTTGAAGACATGTATATAATACATGCTCTTAAATCAAGGTTCCAAATTGATTGGTCTATTGTTCTTAGTGATAATATGAGAAAGTCATATAGGCTGCCTATGTATCCTTTACCTTGTTCTATTTTTCTGTCAAAAGTATTTAACTATGTTGGAGTGAATGTTGATGGAAAGTCTTTTACCATCATGAGTCATGCAAATGAAATAGGAAAACTTATTCTTCACCACGTGGGATGGTGAAGAAAGATGATGGTTGGTTATTTAAAGATGAGGAAGAATTTGTCGATGAAGGAGTATAACCTATTAATGCAGACATTCCTGCTTCCTCTACTAGGAGTAACTTTTCTCCTTTTGAACAAAGTATGTTAGAGAAATTAGATAAAATACATCTTTGATAAAGAGAGAAACATGAATATTATTACTCCAAATTTGACTGGATGAAAAAAATATCTTCTATCTTGTATACACTACAATAAGATCAAGGTGTAACAAAAATGAAAAATAACAATGATGATGAATAAAAAATTAATAATTATATGAATATATATATATATATATATATATATATATATATATATATATATTATATTATTTTAAACAAATTTCACTCAATCTTATATGTTTTTTTTTTCTCATATTTTCTTTCTTTTACTATAACTATTATCATTACTTGGCAAACAAAGTAATAAAACTTAAAATAATCATAATTACTTTAAAAATGATTTTTTACATGTTATATAAACAACTCATTCTTCACACACCCTTAGATAATGTCTGTCAAGGTCTTTCTTTTTCAAGGAACAACACTTCATTTTGAAGAATTCTCTTCTGGATTCTTGGTCAAGCAATGTTGAATTTCTTAGGAAATGGAATTGTAATATAATAATAATAATTATAAAAAATTATATTTATATTTTTTTCTTTCTTCCTCTCACACTTCAATATTGTCTATAAGGTATTTTTGTGTAGAATGGATTGTCAACTAATATTTTTTTACATAACCTTTTTAAATATACATACATACTTCATAATTTTTAATAACAAAATATTATTTTTTATCCTAAAATTTAATATTTAAGGAAACATGTGTTTCATACATTATTTTGAAAATTTTCATATTGTAAGCATGTTATATTAACACAATTTTCTGACTTTGTAAATTCAAATGAAAAGCATTGATATTTTTGTTTTTTATAATTTGATAATATTTTTTAATTTTATATCGATAACTTGTTACCAAATAAATTTTATGAATAATATATTTAAAAAGGTATATTAATCAAATAAAATTTGTATGAATTTTGTTTATTAAAATAAAATAGGCTTGTTTATTGTTTGCCCTTTTTCTTCTTTTTTATTGTAATTTTTTTCTTTTCTTTCTTCATTTACTCCTTAATTTTTTCTTGACTCAATCCCATAAATAATATAGAGTAAAAGAAAAATTATCTAAATAGAATCTCACTAAATTTATCTAACATAATATATTTATTTTTTTTCTTTTTCCTAGTTTATTTTCTTATTTTTCTCTTGTTACATGATAAATTTAAGATGTTATAAATATTATTGTTATGTTATAATTATTAAATAATTAGTTAATATTTTATAATTTCAATGTTGATTTTAAAATATTTTTTAATATATTTTTATTAAATTTTAATATAGTAATTTAACTAAGAGAATCGGTCGAAGAAGAAAGAAGGAAATAAGAGATAAATAAGGAAAGAATAAGGAAAATGAAAAGATAAAAAAAATTATGATGAGAGAAGAAAACGGAAAATCTATTTAGATAAATAAATTAATAATGATTTTATTTATGTAATTTTTATTTTAAAATATATTATTTATAATATTCATTCTCAGAATATATACTAAAATATATTTAAAAATGATTTTTTAATACTGCATCAACCTACATCATAGAATAAACTATCAATAATAATAATAATAATAATAATAATAATAATAATAATAATAATAATAATAATAATAATAATAATAATAATAAAAAGTTCAAGTTCTATATAACATCCTCAAAATCTTAAACTATCATATTTACTAACGGTAGAAACATACGTGATAATCTAGAGTCATATATTCTATCTATTGATATTTATAATTTGATTATAACTGAAATCAAGTAAGTCTTTAATAACTTGTTCCACGTTTAATTTGTATATTTAATTTCACTTTAGATACCCCACGGGAAATTATTCATACCTTCTCTTATACTTTCTTATTATTTTAAAATCAATTAATTATAAACAAAAGTTCAATGAACACAACATACACGGAAATTATTCATACCTTCTCGTATAGACTTTTTTTCATAAATAATACTATTTTTAAAAATATTTCTCAAAATAACACATCCTGAACATTATTTACACAACTAGCACTTTTTACTGTTTACATATTAAAATAATCGATTATTTTATATTATGATCGATTATTTCGCGCAATCAACTCTCGCTCAAGCGAAGAAACCCTTCGCTTGAGCGAGGAAATCTGTAACAAAGGGGTAATCTCGGGTCAATTCTCGCTCAAGCGAAGAAACCCTTCGCTTGAGCGAGAAAATCTATAACAAAGGGGTAATCTCCGGTCAATTCTCGCTCAAGCGACGGGTATTTTCGCTTGAGCGAGAAGTGATTAAAATATGTGGTGACCCAAGTTGCGTTATGTGGCTAACTGCGTTGGACGTTTAGCCTGTGGTCAATTCTCGCTCAAGTGATGAGTTACTTCGCTCGAGCGAGAATTGATTGGGTAACTGCGTTGGACCGTGGTCAATTCTCGCTCAAGCGAGACATCCATCGCTTGAGCGAAGAAATTTATAATCGATTATAATTTGAACTAATCGATCATAATTTGAAAATAATCAAATATACAAAATTATGATCGATTATTTTTCTCTCGCTCAAGCGAAGAAACCCACTACAACAGAAAACACATGTAATAGCGGTTCCACGTTAACCGCTATCTAAAATCTCGGGTCAATTCTCGCTCAAGCGACGGTACTTTCGCTTGAGCGAGAAGTGATTGAAATATGTGGTGACCCAAGTTGCATTATGTGGCTAAACGTCCAACGCAGTTAGTCACATAACGCAACTTGGATCACCACATATTTTAATCACTTCTCACTCAAGTGAAAATACCTGTCCCTTGAGTGAGAATTGACCAGAGATTACCCCTTTGTTACATATTTCCTCGCTCAAGCGAAGGGTTTCTTCGCTTGAGCGAGAATTGACCATAGATTACCCCTTTGTTACATATTTCCTCGCTCAAGCGAAGGGTTTCTTCGCTTGAGCAAGAGTTGATTGCATGAAATAATCAATCATAATATAAAATAATCGATTATTTTTCGCTTGAGCAAGAGTTGATTGCACGAAATAATCGATCATAATATAAAATAATCGATTATTTTAATACGTGAACATTAAAGAGTGCTAGTTGTGTAAATAATGTTCCAGATGTGTTATTTTGGGAAATATTTTTAATAATAGAATTATTTATGAAAAAACGTCTCTCATACACTTTCTTATTATTTTAAAATCAATTAATTATAAACAAAAGTTCAATGAACACAACATACACGAATGATACGTATGCCGGGTTACCTACTAGTTTATATTTAAAATAAATTTAATTATCTTTTTAATCCTTAAAATTTAGAGTAATTCTGATTTTAATCCTTCAAACCAAAAAATAATTTACTAAATTTCAAAAACTAAAATAAACATTTTTTTTATTTAAGGAACTAAAGAATTATTTATCCTAAATTTGAGAAACTAAAAACATAATTAAATCTTTAAAATATAAACAACAAAGAAAAAAAAATGGATCAATAAATACATAACAAGCCTATTTTACAACCATCCTCCACTTTTCTATTTCATCTCTTGCTTTTACAATATTGATCAATAAATGTTGAAGACTAATAGTTATATTTCCCTCAATTAAGTGATACCAATGAACAAAGTTCATCATGCTCAAGGAAGATAGATAATTTTTTGTTTTCTAAAACAAGTGAAAACCAGGGCACAAACTAATGCACCAGTGAATGTCCTCATTGGAAAAATTTCCGGAAACCGTTGAATATTTTCAGGGCTCTTAATTCACCAGCTCTCATGTCCCTCAGTTTTCGTCTCAGTATCTGCAATCATTATTAAAGAGCATCCAGAATTAATTAATAAAAAACGTATTATATTGTGAAAGAGTCGTATGCTATCTTTATTGTGTTGTGAAGTTACAAAAGAAAGCATCAACCTAATTTAGACTTGGAGGTTTATTGTTTAGTTTTTGGTATTATTTCATCATTTTATCTATTGAATATTTTGATACCCATGAGAGAAAGTAAAAAAAATACAACGACAGAGACGATCAAATAACAGCTCTCTTACTTTTCTTATTATCTAAAACAGTAGCTTATATACAAAGAGAAAAGGAATAAAGCTGTTAGAGGAAAGAGAAAAAGGTATAACAAACTGAGGTGAGAAACACATACAGACACATGCAATTACACGTAACAAATACGCAAAAACAAATTATGCGTGAGATTGACACGTGTAATCATATGTATAAAATACACACACAAAAATTAAGCGTAAGAGCCCCCCTCAAGCTGGGAGTGAATATTTGACAGTCCCAGCTTGGAACAAAGATGCGTGAAGGATGATGGTGGAAGAGCTTTGGTAAACAAGTCAGCAAGTTGCATTGACAAGGGTATTGGCAAAAGTTTCAGAGTTCCATTACTGATGCGTTCACGAACAACATGACAGTCAATATCAATATGTTTTGTGCGCTCGTGAAAAACCTGGTTAGAGGCAATTTGTATCGCATAATTGTTGTCACAATAAAGAACAGCAGGTTGAAGAAAAGAAACACGAGTATCTCGAAGGAGAAAAGTGAGCCATTGGAGTTCGCATGTAGTTGATGCAAGGACACGATATTCAGCTTCAGACGAACTACGGGAAATTGTAGTTTGTTTCTTCGAACGCCATGAAATAAGAGAGTTCCCAAGGTATACAGAAAACCCAGTGATAGAACGTCTAGAATCGGGACACCCTGCACTGTCAAAATCACTATAAGCTTTAAGATGAAGAGCACCATGAGCAAGCAAAAATATACCAGAACCAAGAGAGCCTTTGAGATAACGAAGAACGCGAAAAGCAACTTGAGAATGAGAAGTGGTAGGATGAGCCATAAACTGACTAAGTTGTTGAACAACGTAGGTGATGTCTGGACGTGTATTGGTAAGATAAATAAGACGACCAACAAGCCGACGATAGGATGAAGCAGAGATGTCAGTCAAAGGAGTTCCAGAAGCACTATGAAGATGAGTTGAGTAATCCATGGGAGTAGAGACAGGTCATGAGCTTAACATGCTAGCATCTGAAATAATGTCGAGAGCATACTTGCGTTGACAAAGATGAATACCAGTTCGAGATCGAGCAACTTCAAGGTCAAGGAAATATTTTAAGTCACCGAGAGCTTTTATTTTGAAAGTTTGGTCGAGCAATGCAGTGATATGATTAATCACATCAATACTGTTTCCCGTTAGAACAATATCATAGACGTAAACTAGCAGAAAAGTAGATGTAGTGGCTGTAAAACACATGAAAAGCGAATTATCCTAATGAGATTGAATATATCCATAAGAAGCCAGGAAAGCAGAGAGACGGTGAAACCATTGCCGGCTGGCTTGCTTGAGTCCATAAAGGGAACGTTGAAGACAACACACGAGATTAGGATGAGTGGAAAGACCTGGAGGGAGCTGCATGTAAACCTCTTCACGAAGATCACCATGAAGGAAGGCATTATTAACGTCGAGTTGTTTCAGATGCCAGTTCTGAAGGGAAGCCAAAGCAAGTAACAAGCGGACCGTGGTAAGTTTAGCAACAGGAGAGAATGTATCCAGAAAATATAAGCCTTCTAACTGTGTGTACCCCTTTGCAACTAAGCGAGCTTGTAGCGTTTGATGGAATCATCAGCATGAAACTTGATTTTGTAGACCCAGCGACACCCAATAGCTGTCTTATGAGGAGGAAGAGTGGTAAGAGTCCAGGTGTTGTTCGCTTCTAAAGCATGTAACTCAGCCTGCATGGCTTTAATCCAACAGTCATGTTGAGAAGCTTCAACATAGGAAGAAGGTTCAGAAGAGGAGGTAATTGAAAGAATGAAATGACGAAAAGAAGAAGAAAGACGAGAATATGATAGAATAGAACTAAGTGGATACCTGTCACTCGGCGAGGAGGTGATACTAGTTGTAGCAAGTGTACGGTGATAGTCTTCAAGGTAAGAGGGTGGGTGTTTTGCTCGGGTAGAACGGCGTAATGTTGAAGAATCAAATGTGGGATGGATGGGAGGATCAGAAACAGGTCGAGGTGAAGTTTGGGGTAGAGGGTCGAAATGTCAAAAGGAAGAAGGGGAAGGGGAGGTACAAATTGAGGTTGATTGTGTATGAGAAAAAGAAGGAAAATGATCTTCGTAAAATGTAACATTCCGTGAGACTGTAATGGCATTAGAATGGAGGTCATAAACAAGGTATCCCTTAGTACGTGGTTTAAAACCTATAAAAATGCATGGATGAGCTCTTGAATCTAGTTTTTGTCTACCAGCTGTGAGTGTACTACTGTAGCAAAGACAACCAAAAACTCGGAGATTGGAAATATCACAGGTATGCCATGAAGAATTTCATATGGAGAGATATTTTTTAAAAATGGGATGGGAATGCAGTTGATTAAATGTGTGGCATGGGGAAGCGCGAAACACCAGAAGTTAGGAGGCAAGTGAGCTTGAAAAATGAGAGCACGGGTAACATTTAGAAGGTATTGATGTTTTCATTCAACTATACCGTTTTGTTATGGTGTTTCGACGCAAGTAGTTTGATGAATGATTCCTTTGGATTTGAAAAAATCATGCATAATAAATTCAGATCCATTATCGGTTCGTATGGTTTTTATTTTACTGTTAAATTGTGTTTCAATATATGCAGTAAAATCCTTGATTATGTTTCGTGTGTTGGCTTTTATGTGCATAAGGTGGACCCATGTGAAACGAGAATGATCGTCAACAATGGTGAGAAAATAACGATGGCCATGCATAGAAGTTTTCAAGCAGGGACCCCATATATCCATATGCAGAAGATCAAAACATTTGACAGCATGAGAATTACTAGATGGAAATGGAAGCTTTTTAAATTTAGCATAGTGACATGTATTGCATGGAAAGTGCTTTTCATTATTACGTAAAAAAAGATAATGAGTTTTCATGATTTGTAAACGTTCATGGGATAAATGACCCATTCTAAAGTGCTAAAGATCAATAGGAATGATGTGACATTCTGGGTGGACAAGGGTAGTTTGTATGGTGTGATTTTCGGGTACTGTAGAGGTAAGAATATAGAGCCCGTTCCTTGCTTCAACTGTACCAATCCTCGCTTGAGTGGTTGTATCTTGTAAAACACAGGAAGTAGAGGAGAAAATGAGTTGGCATTTAGTATTTGAAGTAAGTTTAGAAATAGAAACGAGATTGAAGTGAAATGATGGTATATAAAGGACATCGGTTAAAATGAGAGAAGGAGAAAAATGAACAGTGCCTGAATGAGTGGCATGAACATGATGACTATTGGGTAAGAGAACTAATAGAGGAGTGATGCGTGTGTGAGAATGATAAAGGTGTAGAGAACAAGAAACATGATCAGTAGCTCCTGAATCAAGAATCCAGGAGGTAGAATTGTTGAGAGTGGAAGAAGAAGATATACCTGAGGGTGTGGGATGTGTAGAACACGAAGAAACTGAGACATTTTGGCTTACATGTGGAGGAGATGAAGCTGAATGTTCTCGGGGTGGTTGTTGGATTAAAGCTAACAAAGCCTTATACTGCTGCGGTGAAAAGTGAACTTCATGTGACTCATGTTGTTTTTGATCGTTGGTGAACGTACTATCCACTGTCACCACATTGTTTATGTCATTCCTTACGTTGTGAAATTTGTGTCCAGGGGGAAATCCATGTTTCTTGTAACAAACATCAACGGTGTGCCCATTCTTGCCATAGTAGGTGCAGATCTTACCATTTCTTGTATTATTTCCTTTAGATTTAACATTAGAAGTCAAAGGAAAACCGTGTTTCTTGTAGCAAACATTTTCTGTGTGTCCAGTTTTTCCACATAATCCGTACATGTGAGTGAAATAGAATTTGTCGCGTTAATTAGACTCTTTAGATTCTGCTCCAGGATGATCAACTAGGGTCCCCATAAGTTGTCTTTCCTGTTGTGCAACGTAGGAAAAGATTTTCGATATTGATGGCATGGGATCCATGAGGAGAATATGCAATTGGACATTGTTATATTGCTCGTTGAGTCCTCGAAGAAACTGCATCGCTCGATCTTGGAGCTTTCATTGGGAAATAATGCCCAGTACAGAACATGAACATTTGGTGACACAGGTACAAATAGGATCAGGTCGGAAGTTTTCAATCTCGTCCCGTATTACACGAAGTTTGGTAAAGAATTCTGTTACAGAGAGATTACCTTGCCTCATTGATGTAGCTTCATATTGAAGGTCACATATGCGTAAGAGATCTCCTTGTGAGTAACGTGACTTTAGATCTTTCCAGATGTCCTTAGCATTGTCCATCCATAAGATACTCTGCCTGATTGGAGGTGAAACAGAATGAACGATCCAGGATACGACCATGTTGTTGCACCTCCGCCAAGCTCCATATTTTCGGTCAGTTTTGGGTCGTTCATGTGCACCTCCATCAACAAATTCCAATTTATTGTTGGCACTCAACGTAGTAAGCATCGATCTACTCCACGAATGATAATTACCAGAATCTAATACCGGCGAGACAAGAGATGTTGCTGGGCTTTCATTTGGGTGGAGATATAAAAAATCATCCATGGTAATGGTAGCGTCACTCATAGCGAATGAATAAAAGAAAGGAATCAGAGGGCACAACAGAAATCTTCATATGAAGATCTCTGATACCATATTGAATATTTTGATACCCATGAGAGAAAGTAAAAATAATACAATGACAGAGACGATCAAATAACAGCTCTCTTACTTTTCTTATTATCTAAAACAGTAGCTTATATACAAAGAGAAAAGGAATAAAGCTGTTAGAGGAAAAAGAAAAAGGTATAACAAACTAAGGTGAGAGACACATGCAGACACATGCAGTTACACGTAAAAAATACGCAAAAACAAATTATGCGTGAGATTGGCACATGTAATCATATGTAAAAAATACACAAAAACAAATTACGCATAAGATTATCTCAATGCTTCATATTTTCAGATCAATGTATATAGACTTACATGCTTGACAATATTCAAGGGCATGCACCAACCGTAGTTATTCTTACATTTTGGATTCGGATTTAGATTTAACTCAATGGTTCTAAACAGGTTTGTAAGACGAGATTTTATTTGACCATAATGCTATTGGGATGTTATCGGACCAATCATAGATGTCCACTCCTGCAAAAGTTTAATCTTAAGATGTTCAATCTTTAGAGTGAGAGAGACAAACTAAAGATCTTACATTGTTGACTAGTGATACCCTCAAAATAACTATATAAGGGGGAGATGACTCTCATCTTATAAAATCATTTCGTAAGATTGAGTTAAATTTTAATTAAAATTATAACAAATGTACTGCTGGTGAGTGTGGACCCGGTCCCTCCTTCCTCATTTTTTTTTTACAATAATATACAGTACATTTTTATTTTTCCTATAGCAAATTCTGCAATTTTTTTAAATTGTTCGCTTTTGACCCCTTAAATGTTTTTAGATCCCACCTTAACAATGATAACAACAGAAATGATGGGATTGGAATTACTTGTGGTGAGACCTGAGGAAATGCTTGTACACCAAACAAGCTATGAGTGACTAGAAACAAAGAACCTACAATACAACCAAGTTTATCCTAACTTTATATTTTAAAAAACTATAATGTTATGGATTATGAAATGCAGAAATAAAAAAAAAATGCTTATAATCTTACGTATTGAGCACGAAATAATATCCTTCGCTCACTATTACACAAGTCCACAGCTAGCTGTTTCAGAAAGAGCCTTCTGTTTAGTTGTTTAGGAGAAGTCACATCCAAATCCAGTGATCCACTTGCCTGCCAGAAACATATTCAACACTCATTTATGATATTTTTAATTTCCATGCAGGTAAAAGACAATGGGCTGGAATTAACTCATTTGATGCTCACAACGTGATAAAGGAGCTTTTCAAACTACGGTTATAAAAGGACATTAAGCTTCCGTAATAAAGTGATTCCTTGCCTGCAAGAACTTGTTGTATTTTGATATGCTTGCTTCACAGCTGTCGAGTATGAATTGCAATGCTTGCTCCTCTATTTCAGGATATCTCAAATCCTTCTTGGAGGTGGTATTATTTGATGCTGCAGTAGCCATCTGTTAAAAGAATCAGTCATAGGATTATACAACATCTAAAGAAAAATTCTCAAAGATTTTTAGTTCAGACCTCTTCAAAATTTTCTCTCATGCTTGGAGGACTGGCAGCCAAATAAGCATAGGCCATTAATTCCAGTGGCCAACCAGTTATCTGTATAGGAAAACACTGAGATCTAATAAAAACAGAACAAAGAAGTTAGTAACTGATTCAATACAAGTATAGTTCAGAATGCTATCTCAAGGGCATATCAGATCAGAAGGAAATAATAATGTTTCTCATCTGAATGATTAAGTCCCAAGTTAATCAGGAAAACAAACTGTAATGACCGTTTTGAAGCATGGCCACTTCTACAAAGTACCTCGCATGCTAAAAAGATGGGAATACAAATTTTATGATATTTTCAACAGCTTGGAAATTATATTTTGGAAATGCCTCAGAGTGAAACCAATGTGTGTTGAAAAATGCAATTGATACAAAGTTTGCAGTGATTTTTTGATAGAACTTCTACTAAGGTATAAAATAGAAGGCTTCAGAAAATAATTTTACCAGACCAGAAACAGTGAACTTCAGAAAATAATTTTAGGTACTCACGCAGATAATCCATATTTCTTCAACAGTTCTAACTTCTCCTTATAAGACGCATCGGATTTCTTCAGTGACAGTGACAACTCAACTGAATCACTAGGATTGGCACCTTCCTTCGGGACAAATCCATAAGATAGCAAAAGCTCCCCATTTGACTTTTTTCCATAGGAAATAAACACCTGTGTAATTTGATGCAGGGAATTAACTGCAATCTCTAAATTTAAATATAATGACTATGGGAAGAGCCACATGGTGAAGAATATCACCATCAAATACAACTCCAATCAATTAATATTATTTTTGAGGAAATAATGCAAACTGCAGAGACTAAATTGTTTTACTCATGCATGCATCATAGTCCACTTTGTCAAGGAACAAGGAATTTGTATCCCATTTACCTGGGTTTTTGTTTTGTCAAAAAGTTGATCAAATTTAACAAATTCCAATGTGCCAATTTATGTTTACCTGCTCACCTGGTTGATAAGGCCGATCCGTCGTGAAGACTATTCCCTTTGATTGCTTGTCATAATCCAAAAATGTCTCCACCTGGATAAGTTAAAACAAGTCATTGTTACACTTCTTTGGAAAGAAGTTACGAGGAATCTATATATTTTTGGGAAATAAAATACCTCACAACTATGATTTAGCATATCAGCCCAAGGAACCAAGGCAACCTTTCCATCCATTGAGGGTAACCGGACCTGCATGGTACAATGGTTATGAATGATATGTGCCAACAAACAACCATTTGTCTTAACTAAGAAACAACAGAACCAAGTGTCCTTGAATTAATCTATTAAAAAGTAGATCACATACAAAGAAGACAGAAGATAAGAAAGTTAAATTAGTTTTGAATTGAATTTTTGCAAATAAAATTATTTATTCAGATGTTTCAATTATGGGACAGTTTCTTCAGATGATATGTGCCAACAAACAACCATTTGTTTTAACTAAGAACCATTTGTCTTAACTAAGAAACAACAGAACCAAGTGTCCTTGAATTAATCTATTAAAATGTAGATCACATACAAAGAAGACAGAAGATAAGAAAGTTAAATTAGTTTTGAATTGAATTTTTGCAAATAAAATTATTTATTCAGATGTTTCAATTATGGGACAGTTTCTTCAGACCTGACACATTTCAGCATTTGTTGTTTAGTTTTGGACATCAACACTCTTTCAAAATCAGCTCTGTTATGAATTCAAATGGCATTGTCTGTGCATGAAAGTTATATAGAAATATATGGAAATTCTCAGTAACAATAATTGAGTTGTGCAGAAGAGGAGGAGAATAGAATTTAATTTGGTTTCGTTTCATCTACCAGGTTGACTCACCATGCGGGAGAAAAGAATACCAAATGACCATTTGAAGGACTCTATGTTGAACACCTGAAAGTTACAGATAGAACATATTCAGATCATCACTATGTTACTGAAAGAAAGACTGATTGACTTTCGTTCTGTGTTTAATGTAATATAATCACCTCATCAGGGAATATATCAGGGTACTTGGAAAATATTCTGAGCCTCAAATCATTGTATCTGGAGAAGAAAAGGGAAGCAATTATGGCAAGACAAAGGATTATTCAATCAAGGAAACACATTGGAATGAGGCTAACTACCAAAAAAAGAAATGACAGAAAATAAATTCCTGAAGAAATATAAGGTACAAACAAACGGTCCATACGTTCCAATAACATTATTGATCCTTTCGATTGCTCTCTCTCTAATCTGTGAAGCTTCCAAGTAGCGATCTAGTTCTGCTTGTGACCTGAAATAACATAAATGCCCCTCTAATAAAGATATAAAAGAAGAGAATGAAAACAGTAGTGCATAAACCACATACAGTTTTATATTGAAATCAAAATGAAACTTTTAGAAGGCTTGTAATGTATGAATATTAAACACAACATGCTCCAATTGTCTTCATTAGTTTCATTTTTTGATAGGTTTTATATTGGAGAGATTATTGTTAAAAAATCTCTTCATTTCCATTTCTAGCACATTGTCCTTGGCAAAGTTATTTAACATTTCAATCCCTTATAGTCATTTCCATTTCTCACTCACTAATATTCATTTCTCTCATCCTTCCCAAATAAGCTCTCAAAAGATAAGAACAATTCATCTACCTACCAGTAAAGAAGCGAATAAGGTTGACGAGGTAAGGCTGATATATAATTGCTCCATCTTGAAGATTCCATGAGGCTAGCTTCACTTATGAGGTAAGTTGCAAGCAAAGGCCAATCTGGCACTGAATTTCTTTTCAATACTTCACCAGCTTCAGGATGACTCCACTCCTAACAACCGCAATACACACAACCACACCAATCAGATGCATTAGCAAGTACCTGACCTATGAACCAACCAAGTTTAATCACACATTTCACATTTCCAGTGAAGATTTTTTTAAAAGTTCCCATTTCCAACATCTGTAAAAAATATTTCAGTAAACAGTGGACATAAAAATAACAAACAATCCAAATTAACTATGATTGTTCTTCATATTCATACGTTATAAAACTTTGGTGAGAACTTTGAGCTTAGTCATGCTGTTGACATTGACAATATAGTATGTGTGTGTGAATATATATATATATATATATATATATATATATATATATATATATTCATTTTCTTGTAATTTAATGATTAAGATGAATTACTATTTTAGACTATTAGATAAAAAAATGAATAAGTCTTTAACTCTTACTCTTAGAGTGAATGAATCCCTCTTCTTCCTCTCCCTCTCTCTCTTTCTTTCTCTCTCTCTCTTGCTTTCTCTCTCTCTCTCTCTCTCTCTCTCTCTCTCTCTCTCTATATATATATATATATATATATATATATATATATATATATATATATATATATATATATATATATATATATATATATATATATATATATATATGTATGTATAACTGGGATAAAGCGCAAATAGAGTACCATAAATACTGTGGCACTTTTCTTCAATCACTCAGGCAACTTTGATTGGCAAATAATATTATTTGAGTTTAATCCAAATAACTACCTACTACCCTGTTTCATATCTAGTGACATCTTAGGTTAATGCACAAAAAATAAGTCATTGTCAGTATGACTTGTAAGACAATTATGGTAAAAGTCAACAAACTTATCAGATTTAGATGTTATTGATTAGATAACACTGTAAATACTCTTTACACAGTTACTCTATTTGCTTATTGTTAACTATAGTTTCTAGAGGGCAAGTGTGGCACAACAGTAAAGTTGCACCTTATTGGCCAGTTGATCATAGGTTCAAATCCAAAAACAGTATATGTAAGAGTGCATACAATGACTCTCCCCCCTACCTTAGCATAGAAAGGAGCTTTCAGCCACTAAGATTTTTTATTTTTTTTTAATTACTCATTTTATTCCTATGATTAAGAAAATTATCTTTTAATCTTTATACTTAAAAATGATCTCCTTTTAGTTTCTATACATACTACTTTTAATCTCTTTTAGTGACTATGAGTTTAATCAGTAGGGACTTAAAAGGATTAAAAATTATATATGTGGTGACTAACAACATGTTTAGATGAACTTCTCTATAAGCACTTATAAGGTAGAGAAATAAGAAGAAAAATTGAAATTAGTTTCTCTATAACCTAAAATTAGTTCATGCATAAACTAAGTTGTCGAAGTTATCTCATATAGCATCTCTAAATTTTTATTTCTAACTTGTGCATAAGTTAGTTTTAGCTTATAAAAAAGCTCATTTTATTTTATTTTTTCCTTTTTATTTTCTCCCTTAGAAGTCTTTAGGAAGAACCTTGTCCAAACAATTCTTAAAAAGGAATTAAAATAGTATAATATAACACATATTTAGATAACAGTCTCCGTAAACACTTTTAAGAAAGAAAAATAAAAAGAAAAACAGAAATGACTTTCAACATAACCTTAGTTCATGTACAAGTTGAAAAATATAAACTGGTTTTCTCTCCTGGAAGTGTTTATGGGGAGTAAAATGAATGATTATTAAGTTTAGAAACAAAATCATAAAATATATATGCTAAACGAGTAATTAAACTTTTTTTCTTTTTATTTGTAAAACATGAATACATATGAAAAAAAAGCTAAAAATTTGAATAAGCAAAATAGTGATGGTTACAAACAAATGTTACTAGAGTATGTAACAACAAACTTGAATAAAAGAGGTTAAACAACTGAATCTACAATAGTGATGGTAGCAACTAAAGATTCAGCAACCAAGATTACTAATGAATGTACCAACAAATTTGAATTGAAAAAGAATGAATGAATGGAAGAAGAGAGGTTACAGAATTTGGAGTAATGACAAGAGACGGAGGCACAAAGAGCAGCTTCTCCCCTTTTCTTATGTTCTTCAAAGCTACAAGTCCTCTCTCTCCCACCTCCACCCTATCTATCCCCATCTTCTGCGGCGGAAGCCCTGACTCTGACAGCCACCTCTGCAGCCCCGAAGCGCTCTCCAGCGACTCAATTTCGCATCCCCAAGCCACCGCATTCTGGGGAGTAGCACCGGCGGACACCGAGCAGTGAACCTGGTGCTTCCGCGGGAGGCTCAGGGGACGGTGAGATACACAGGTTTGTGGGCGGAAGGAGGGAAGGAAATTGGAGAAGAAGCTGATTGTTGAAGGTTCGGTCATGGCCCGAGATGAAGAAAAACGCCAACCAGAACCTTATCCGATGAACTCAACTTCGAAGAGAGGACTGGTGGTGGTTAACTGCTTCAGTGCCAAAAAGAACCACGCATAGAACTCGTGGAAAAGAATTACAAACTTTCAAGCATATATTTCATTATTTATATTTTCTATTAATTTGTTTTTCATTTAAAATATTCATTGTGGTCTTTTTTATTTCTCAAATTTTGGACTATTATTGATGTTCTGAAATTGTTAATTTTTACTAATTTTCTCCACAATTTTAAACATATTTTATAATAAAATAATTAAATTTAAATTTAAATATTTATTTTCCTTTTATTCAAGATATTTTTCATTTTAATCCTATAACTAAAAATTTATACTTTTTAAGTATTTTAATATTTTAAAATTTTATTAGATTGGATAATTAGATCTAATCCAAACTCATCGGGTTGATTTTTTTATTGAGATAAATTCGACCCAATCTAATTTAATTTAATATTTTGTGAAATAGATAATAAGTTTTATATATTTAACTCAAGAGAAAAATTTATTATACTAAAATTATTAAATAATATTAGTATTATTAATAATAATCTAATTATTATTAAATATTATTTGATTATTAAATAATTTAAATAATAAATAATATAGTTTAACTTTTAAAAATATTATTATAAAAATTTAAAGAGTATATATTTTAAAATTACAAATTTAATTTTTAAAATTCTGTAATCATCATTCTAATCAAGTTGAGTTGGATATATACATACATATATATATATATATATATATATATATATACATATATATATATATATATATATATATATATATATATATATATATATATATATATAAATTCTATAGGTTGAGTGAAAACTGAACTAAACTTAATTCAACTCAATTTAAGTACCCTCCTATTTATATGATACTAATAATTATATCAATACGATAAACATTTATCACTTTATACATCTTGAACTGATTAATCATGTATTTTCTATAATTATTTTAAAAATTGATGAACATTGAAAATCCTAAAATTCATGTAAAATCTTTTTTGGTGCCCATTTTTTTCCTTTCCAAATTCATCGGTTTATATGTAAGTTTTTCTACTACTCCCTCTATTTCTGAACATGTGTGCCAGTTTAAAGTTTGTTAAAATCAATAAAAATATTAACTTTTATAATTTATATTAATTTTTTTAATATTTTTCCAATATTTTTATTATTTTGTCATTCTCTCTTCACAATAATTTATCTTTCTTTTTACAATAAAGTATCAATTTTTCTTTTCATTTCAAATAAAAGAAATATGAAAATGTGAAACATTTATTTTTTATTACTAAAAATAAGTTTCCCTCTATGATTTTAATCTAAAAAACTTTGTCCCTAAAAGTTTTGATTTGAAAAATTATGGGAACTTTTTTTCAAAAAGAAAATTAATATCACTTATAATTTCACATTATAATTGCTAAAGCTTAACTTAGAACATCACTATAATGTATCAAAATAGACTTTTATAATATGTTATAAAATCACTACAAATTTTCCCTTAACTATCTTTCTTTTTAATTATATTCATTGTAATTCGTGTTGTAAATTAAGAAGTATTGCAAAACAGAGAACATGTTCTCACACGTTGCAGAAATCCGTTTCAGAACACGTGTTCTCACATGTAGCAGAAGACTGTTTCAGAGCACATGTTCTCACACGTTGCAGAAGACTGTTTCAGAGAACGTGTTCTCACACGTTGCAGAAGACTGTTTCAGATAACGTTGCAAAAGAATGTTTTAGAGAACGTTACAGGGAACGTTACAGACCTACTACCAAGTCTTCCATAACTGTTACAGACTTTCTCTTATAAATAGAGATCACTTCACACTCTTCAGAAGACCTCTCTCATCTTCTCTTCTCTGGTCTTCTTTCTATGATCCTATTTTTGAGAGTTTCTTGCTAGTTTTTGAGATCCTCGGATATTCTGAGAAGTTCCTGTTGTATCCTGGGGGACTTGCGCAATATGTAATATCCTAAATTTTACAATCAATTATATAAATAAATTTTGTAAGTTATAAATATGTACCGAATATTATGTAGAGTTATTATAAAAATAAAACATGATTTTTATAGTAATTTTGTCTTAAGAAAATTATAAAATAAAATCCAAGGTTAATATTGTGTCAAATAATAATTTAATAATAATTCTTAATAATAAAATTAAATAAATGAATAAATAAATATTTAGAAAAAAAAATTCACGAAAAGAGAGAAATGGTATTTAGGAGCCAGTAGTTTTAGCTCAAGTCAATAAAACCTTTGAATTAAGTCGGTGAAATAAGGCGGTGGAGAATAAAATTAAAGAAAATTCGATAAGTACTATAAGTCGGTAAGATAAGTGTATAAATAGGAAGAAATTTGAAAACTTACTTACACAAAAACATACAATTCCCAGTCACTTACAAATCCAACAGAGAGGCACCGGAATTCGAGAAGAAGAATTCGAGAGAAAGGAGGAAAGGGGAGCATAAGAAATTAAGAGAATAATAAGATTTTGAAGGAGCCAGGTATGGGTTAGACGTTTAGTTTTATTCATACGAATGTCTGTAATTGGAGATTACTATTCATCAATTGCAAAGTTTGAAATATTGTTGAAATTCTTTCAATTAAGGATGAATTATATAATAAAATTGTTGTTTTTAACTTAAATTAAACATGTTATGGTTTAATTTTGATTTGGAACCAATTTGAGTGATTGAAACCGAGAAATTTGAAACCTGGATTTCGAAAATGGCGAAGCTGGATGAAAATCGCAAAATTCGCTCAAGCGAAAAATATATCGCTTGAGCGAGGACACCTGGAAAAATTTGGGATTCTCGGGTTCTTTATCGCTCAAGCGAAAATTACATCGCTTGAGCGACTAAGGGTCATGTATCGCTCAAGCGATCGGTGTACTCGCTTGAGCGACGAAAGCTTCAAACAAAGGGGACTCTCGGGTCATGCCTCGCTCAAGCGACCGATGTACTCGCTTGAGCGACGAAGCCTTCAAACAAAAAGGGGACTCTCGGGTTCCATCTCGCTCAAGCGACCGGTGTACTCGCTTGAGCGAGCGAAGGAAGAAGAAAGGACTAGGTGGGAATTTTTGCAAAAGATCAATGGTAAAATAGTCATTTCACATATTAGGGACATAAATGGAATTTTGAAAAAGGTTAAGGGTATAATCGAGATAAAGTCAAACAGTATATTACGCCCTCTTTGTTTACTAGGAAAACGACTCAATAAACGTTAGAATTTGAGGATAGTGCCTTCATCAAAGTTATAGATTATTATCTTATCTTTCCAAAACAATTGGAATTATCTTAAAATGAGGTCTAGAACTCAAGATATGGACAAAATACTGAACCCTATGAAATAAATTAATAAAAAAAAAAAAAATTGTCTTGCTTAAAACAACTATGAATTGTAATTAAAATTTTGAATATATGAAGGAGATGTTTTTAAGTATTTAATTGATGATAGATTGTTTTGTTTCATACGAGACATAAACATAGTGCAGAAAAGTTTTTACGAGTAAAAGTATTTGGAAATTTCTCTTAAGTTGCTACCAAGGACGGTTGGTAGGAATAATGATGTGCAAAACGAATTTTTAAATTTTTACGTGAGTCAATTTACTATCAAGAGTATCTCGGTAGTGAAATATGACTATGAAAATGGTCGGCCAAATGAGACGAGAGAATGAATTATTAAAAATTGAGCTACCGGAATCTCCGATAGTAAATGGGGGAGTAGGTAAGACAGGACCTCCGGTCTATGGGGATGGACCTCCGGTCTAGGGAGTGTTTGGGCATGGGCAATTCCATAAGTGGCCGGTCTTTATTTGATTCTCGTGCCGTGGTAGCCTGTCGGGTGCACCGACACTCGACTACCTGTCTACTTGTTCGAGTTTAGTGGGACATTGCCGAATCACCGGACAGGGGTGATGATAAGCTCCGGTTCCACTAGACACTCAATGAGTCTCCATGGAGCACCGAGTCAAAAATAAATTTTTAAATTTTGAGTCAAAAGCATGATTTTAAAGTTTTACGTTTTAAGTCACATTTGCATATCATAAACATGTTGGATGATGAAATTGTAGATTATTCATGATTTGTATGATATTCTCTATTATGATTCCATGAATGATTTATTTGTTTCTCACAATTAATTTTCAAATTAAATTACATATGGTTGTATATTTATATGCGGTTAGGAACTTATTAGAAGGAATATTTCATTAGTTGATTTTATCGTATGAATGTTTGCTTTATTTGTTGTGGATAAAATTAAATGTCTAACCCCATAAATATTTCAATTCCGGATGTTGGTGACGTATGATGCAGGAATACATAGTTCAAGAGATAGATGTCGGATGCAAAAATCCAGAGCTTAGAGTCGGGAATTGTATAACATATAAGTATAACTTCATGACTTGTAATATTTTGAAAACTTTGTACTAAAACTTGTTGCTTGATTTAATATAAAACCTTACCTAAATTAATTGTTCACTTAGTATATTTTCTATTAACCTTCTATGAATATTGAAAATATTACTAACTTGGATAATAAATTAGAATTAATAAATGTAATCTGTAAGGGGGTTACATTAGTGGTATCGAGCTCTGGTTATGCATCTTTAGGGCTTGTGAGTACAAGTTGAGTAGGAAAATGTTGTTTGTATAGAAAAATTTTAAATATAAGATAGGAATAATTTCTATCACCAGACGTTAACTTAGTGAAATAAACTGTAAGTCAAAATGCCACCTCGACGTGATCCTATGGTCGATGTGGCACAAGCCATAAGGGAAATGGTTGCTTGCATTGACTCAGCCAGCTTTGTCCCAAGCATCATGCCACTGTAGATAAAACAACTTTAGCCGACTTCAAGAAAAATGATCCGCCATATTTTAAAGGAGAATATGATCCTGAGAAGGTCGAAGAGTGGATTCAGACTTTAGATGATATTTT